AGAGAGAGAGAGAGAGAGAGAGAGAGAGAGGGAGAGGGAGAGGGAGAGAGGGGAGAGAAAAAGAGAGAGGAGAGGATGCCATCTCACCAATGGCAAGCTGTTCCTGTCACACAGCTCGGACATCAAGCACCTTGGACAATGGACAAGCCAGGCCTCTTCCCTCTGACTGGGAGAAAGGCCAACTCAGCACATCCCAACAGCAAGACCCCTTTAACTCTCCAATCGGAAAGGACCACGGTACTCATCTGGCAGTTAACCTTTTCTACAAACTGGTCCAACACCTCTTACCAGCTACCTTTTGGCCTTCAGCTGGGTCTCTGCCCTCTCTCCTGCATGGCAGAGACCCCAGGCCAAAAACAGAAGGCCAACAGCGCGCAACTTCTACCGAAGAGTAAGCACAAGAGCGAACTGAAAACCAAGTACTCACCGTGGTGAAGTCTTGGTGTCCACATTCCTGCCCCTTGAACTTGCAGTAGAGCATCATATCCTTCAGGTCATGGCCTACCCGGTGCAGGAACTCCAGCATGCTGAACTGCTTCGGTTTGTAGTGTTTGAAGTTGGCCTTCTGTCGCAGGGCCTCCAAGACTGTGGGGTCCGCCAGATGCTGGTCAGGAATCTGCAGGTTGACATCCAGAAGGGCCAGTAACTCCCCAGCATGGTACAGGTCATTGGTGGTGAGCCTGGAGAACCGAAAGCCATTGAGGTTGCAGAGGGTCACAGCTGGGAAGACCAGGCTCTGGGCCACCACCTCATCTACCTTGGTAACATGCTGATATGAGAAGTAGTAGGACACTCTCTCAGAGCTTTCAACCAGCAGCAGGCCCAGGGAGCCCACGAAGGCCACTGCCCAAAGCACACGCCGGATGGTCAGCGGCCCATACACGAAGATGTGGCGGATACCATGGAGAGTGGATGTGTTGGCGAAGATCTGAATGCTGGAAGGTTGCAGGCTGCCCTCGCTGGGGCTCTCCTTCAGGTCCATCGGGACCCTGTGCAGTTCCGCAACTGGCTTCAGGTTGATCAAATCTCAGGGAAGAGTTCCCAGTCCTCTGAATTCTGCTTAAACCTTGGCGTTCAAGACAGAGATCGCCGGGCAAGCATCAGGCCAGACACTGGGAGTTTATCCTGAGAGCTTGGCCGCACGCTGACAGAGGTGAGTGTTTATATAAAACCCATTCAAACTCTAGCTCCTGATTTTTTCCAGGCGATAAGGAGGGCTGGTTTTATTTAGGGAGACACCAAGGTGATGTGGAAGGGATGTGGGTGGGAAGGGAGCGCTTAGCCAATGGAAATAAAGTCCTCCCCCCTACACACGCCACTAGAGACAAGATTAAAAGCGAGAGCGAGGGAGAAAATGCTTAAAACAAGTCGCTGAGCAGCTCGGAGCCTGTTAACCGGCGCATAATGCCCCGTGTTAAGCATGGGGGGGATGTCAGCACAGCCACGCTAATGCAGTGCGGTGGGGCGCCGCGGTGCAGCCTCCTAGCAGCGGACGCTTAGCTTCTTCCTGGGGATGTCTGGGACCCTGGTCGCGGCTTCTTGCTGCTTGCTTCCATCCCTCCTTTCTCTCCTCCTTTTCCGGCCCCCTTTTGGGGACAGAATTCCAATTGAGGGCTGCGGCTGCTGCTTGGGAGAGGACGCTGCGCTCCGCCTCCAACAGGAGAAGCAGGGATGCGGGGGCTCCTGTGGGCTTCGTGCTCCCAGTCTCAGGAGAGCAGAGGGAGACCCGTGGGCTCAGAGAGAGCCTACCCCTATCCCCAGGCCTGCCTCCCGCGAGGCTGCTAGGGGAAGGGAGGCTTGTGCGGGAAGCAGGGGCTGGGGACGTGGAGAAAGTTTTTAGCTTTTTTTTTTTTTCATGAAGAGTTGCTGGGGGGCTTCTACTCCAGGTATCTAGCCACTCCCAGAGGAAGAACTTGACCCCCTTTCCCCATGGATGGCAGGGAAGTAGATACTTAACTGCGTGTGTGGCAGGTTTGAGATGCTGGCAAGGGTTCCTTGCCAGTATGAGCTTCAGGGTCTCATCCACGGGAGACCCCCAAGGAAGAGATGCTGAAAATGAAGGGAGCAATTTAAAACCACGGGGTCTCCGCTGCAGGCTGGAGGGGGGTACTCCGGAAGAGTAGAGAAAAGCCCTTCCAGAAATTGAAAAATCAGTGTGCCCATAGGAGCCCCAGAGGAAGAGCAACAAGTACCACCCACCCCCATATGGCTGGCTGTCAGGACTTTTTGTGTTTAACAAAGGAAGACAGCTGGGTGCCAGGTAGGACTGGCTGCATTACATTCTGTTTGAGGTGTGTGTGTGTGTGTGTGTGTGTGTGTGTGTGTGTGTGTGTCTGTCTTAGGATTTGCCAGATGGAATCACAGCTGGAGCTGTAGGTGAGAGAGAATGGGATCTCAGCCTCCTACCTCCTGCTTCCTGAAAATCCCTTGTAAATCAGACCCCTGCTGGCTGATAGGTGTGGCTTGACTGCCTGCCCCTTGCCAAGGATCAAGTGGCTGGGATCTATTGAATCAGAGATAAATTCTCATCAGGGTGAAAGGAATTGAAAGTTAGGGTAGCCAACTGAGCCACTCGGCCAAGCTGGGATAGAGCCACATGGAGGCAAGTGTCTTCGAGAGCCAAGCTGGTGTCTCCATGGCATGCCAGCCTTAAGAAGGTGAAGAAAAGGGCGGCTTAGGTCATGTTCTTCTGGGCCGATGGCCATTCTGAAATGTTCTCCTGTCCCATCTGACCTCCTGCTAAGCAAGACCCACTGAGACAGTTCCCAGAAAGCACTCTGAGGTGATACATGGGGCATGGCCTTGGCAGTTTATCGATCAGGGATGACATGACAAGAAGGCAAATGGCAAAGCCTGAGGACACAGGCTTGTAGACCAGGAGGACCAAAAACAGTCTAAATTTCCCATGCCTCAGGACGTGTGTGAGATGCTGTATTGGCCCATACACCCCTTTCAACTGCCTTGGCAGGTGAATGTTCTGGGTTTTATCCACATCCTACTGAAGAGACAGTTCAGGTCTCACACAGCCAGTGGTGTGGGATCTGAGACTTCGTCCCGGGTGTGTTCGCCTCTGAAACAGGTTTTAAAAAGCAGATCCAAATTTCTCCAGCTCAAATTTAGGAAAGGATTTCTACCCCTCACCCCCATGTTCTCTCTGTGTCTCACACACAGACCACCCACTCACATGTCTAGATCCCCTCCTTGTCTTCTCTTGGTCAAATGACACCCTTTTTGCCCCTTTTCGCAGTTGAGGGTTCTCATAAAAAAGGCTTGTGTATTCTTCTCACAAACCTTTGGCTCGCCAGTCTAATTAGTAAGTGTGTTCCCCCTTAACTCCGGTCCAGACACTATGTTGGTTTGGGCAAAACAAGATGAATGAAATGTATGTCCTACTATTAATACCTAGAGGCTCAGGTACATGAAGGCAGAGACAGGCACTCGGGTCTCATTGCCACAGTTCTGATGGTAGGCTCCTACTCTTAGCTCTGCCCAGCTGGAAGTCATGTAATTTCCTCTACATTCTGTCCCATCACCACCAACTATTGCCCATACTATGCTCTGCCACCTCGTCTCTTCTTCTCCTAGAGTCAGTTTCCCTCTGTTCAGACAGGTTTTCTCATATGTGCAGAGACAGATCCTAGAGTAGATCACCGCACCCCCATGTAAGCCCATTCGTTGCTTCTTCACCTCCATAGTGGATTGGAGGCTCACAAGCATGACAGGGCATGGTGCTGTGGCACAGTCACACAGACCTCAGTTTGTATCTCCCATCTGCTCTGCCTCCTTCTGCGGTGTGACCTTGGAGAATGTGCCTAAACTTCTCTGAACTTTCATTCCCCTCCTCCACAATGGTGGGATTTTAGAACAGCAAAGGAACTCAGGCGATGTTGTGGAATGTTTGTACAGTTTAGACACCTAGCAATTAACGCTTTTGATGAACGATGGGAGAAGGTGCTTTGTTGATGTTGGTGTTCTCTTCCAGGTGACTGGGGAACCGTTTAAAGCTCTCAAAGATGTGATATGCCTCAGGCACTGCATATCTGAAAGGCCAAGGTCAAACGCAACTTTGCCTTCTCTTCTGCTTCCTGTCCGCAGCCCAAAGACCTCAGGGTCTTCTAGACTCTTACAAACAGGCTAGGCACTTTAGGGTGAGTAGAGCACCAAAGGATAAAGACCCTAATTGTGACTTTCATTGCAAGTCACTAGGCTCTGTGCTGGGGTGTCTCTAGATCTGTCAGAAGTCAAGAGTACCACTGAACCCATGTCACAGAAGATCCTGAAGATGGGGAGAAGGGCTACCTGATCCATGAAACCACCCCTGAAAACTAAAACATCTGACATTCAAACTCTTGAACATCTGAACTGGAAGATACAGACCCTCATCAGACACCAATGCAGACCATCATGGCACTACTGCTGAACAGAAGGGCCAGAGATGGACAGGGTTTTTCAAGAGATAACCACTGTACCATTCTCTTTCATAGCTAGTTCTGCACCATAGCTAATAAAATGTTCCTTCATGGCTCTTCTTAAGGGCCCTATTGAGCTGGTAAGAATCTCTTGCAATTAACACCACAGTTTACACACAGACATTAGATATTGTCTGATTATTTTGGAGGAACATATTTTTTAATTTAAATTATAAACAAACTTGTTTTACATGTCAATCCCAGTTCCCCTTCCCTCCCCTTTATTGTCTGATTCTTAAAAATGTTTCTGTAGCATTAAGTTGGTTAAACATTTGCAGCATCCAACAGATTCCCAGTACCTTTTGCTTCGCTCTGGGGCACATGCTGAGGGCACAAGCATCAGGTTTAGAGTGGGTCTACTTGGCCCAGTTTTTTAGGCGCTGCCCTAATTGTGTATAATTATGGTCTTTTTTGTGCACTGCACAACTAAACATTAAAAAATAAAAAAAAAACCTTTCCAGATAAATTCATGTGAAAATTAGCCAGTTTAACCCCCTATTAGCCCATGTTCCCAGAGTTTTGCTACAGCAAATCTATTTATTTGCTCAAGAACAAATAAATGGATGTATTTATGAATTTCTCTGTTTTTGTTATGAGGGGCCAGGAGGCAGGGGGCGCTGTCTTCCAGCCTTGGGGATCCTAAGGCCTGCCCTAAATGTGTCTCCTTGGAGGTCCCAGGGTACAGGGCAGTCTCCTCTTGCCTCTAAAAAGAGTGGCAGACAGAATTAGACAGGGTGGGCCCTATAATCATCCCCAAAGCTAATTTGCTCCTTAACTTGTGCTAGATACTGGCTGCTACTGCCATCACCCTTAATTAGAAAAGAAATGCATTCTTTTCTAACATGCAGATAGAATTATTTTTCAGACTCCCGTGGCTTCCTTGTACAGCTTTTCCTCCTGGTTCTTCATTGCGGTGAGAAAGGTTAACCCAAGCGTGGCTCTGCTGTAAACGGGTTTATAAGCACACAGCTCTTATAGCAATGAGTCTTATTTCTTTCCTTTCTTCTGTGAATTTTTAGGAGTAATTCTCTATAAAGGGTATACCGGGATGGGACATGAAGCAAAGCAGTGCATTTAATGAGTCCTTTTATTTATTTGTTTGTTTGTTTGTTTTTTCATTCATTTTTATTCATATGGATGTTTTGCCTGTTTATGTGTCTGTGCATCATGTTCATGTCTGGTGTCCTTGGAAGCAAGAAGAAGTCCTTAGATCCTCTGGGACTGGAGTTACAGACAGCTGTGAACCGCCATGTGGGTGCTGGGAATGGAATCTAGGGAGAACACCCAGTGATCTTAATGGATGAGCCATCTCTGCAGCTCCTAATGAGTAATTCCTTAAAATCTTACCTATTGTTGCTTGCTCTCCAAGTAAAACTACAGAACCCTGTTCGCAAGAGAGGACTCATGGGACTCAGTTGCAAATTGGCCTGACCCTGAGGTACATTTAATTTGCTGTGTGGACTTCAGGAAACCATAGAACATCTCTGTGTTATTTGTGCTAACTCATTCTTGG